AGCCTCTTCTACCCAGTCACAGGTGAATCGCGTTACAGTATCCCCTACTCTACAAGTATATATATAATGTAAACCAACAGACAGGATTGGCATGAGGTGCATACTGAATCTACAAAACTGCAGAACATGGAACATCAGCCTTGTGGAAGAGGGGTGAAAGGAGTTTTGAATGATAGTCCTATAACAATTACTGTAAGCATGTTTGCGCTTATTTATGTTTGTGTTTTGTCATCTGCATCTCAAAAAGGACTGCCAGACAACCTAGAAGAGGTGGAAGAGGTCCACTTTTTCCTCTTGCTGCGGAGTCAAGAATTTGTGCAATGGTGGCTGCAAACAACGCTTTGAGACTGAGAGAAATGCAAAGAACTGTCGTAGAAGATGACACCATCTTCGGAAATATTCAGTCAATATCAATTTCCACCATAGACAGTCCTCAGACGGAATGAAATGTCCATGAAGCAATTGTACAAAGTACCATTTGAACGGAACAGTGATCGAGTGAAGGAGCTCCGTCACCAGCATGTACAGGTAAAACATGTTTGCATATGTACCTCTGTTTACTGTAAAAGTTTAGGCCATGTACTACACTTACATTTATGCATGTTACTGTAATCCTATTTACAATTCAAACTGTGCAATCTGTTGTGCCAAATGCACCATTACAGACTTTTTTTATTCTCATCCTTTGTCTAGCGTATCCTGGAATTGGAGGCCAGGAAACCCCTGCACACGTTGGTATATCTTGACGAAGCGGGATTCAATCTCGCAAAAGGCAGACGGCGTGGACGAAATCGCATTGGAGAAAGAGCCACCATGGATGTCCCAGGCCAACGAGGAGGAAATATTACAATGTGTGCAGCAATCTCAGAAAATGGCGTTCACACCCATATTCCTCGTATTGGTGCATACAATACACAACCCCTGTTGGCTTTTCTGGACGCTCTTTATAGGGACCTAATCCCACAAAATGAAAGGGATGATCCTGGTGACAATCGGACGATGTATGTAGTGGTTTGGGATAATGTTAGCTTCCATCACTCTGCTGTAGTCAGGCAGTGGTTTGCAGCACACGACAGGATGCTTATGGAGTTTCTTCCTCCTTACACTCCATTCCTAAATCCAATTGAGGAGTTTTTCTCTTCCTGGAGGTGGAAGGTATATGACAGGCATCCACATACCCAAATGACCCTGCTAGCAGCTCTGGATGCAGCTTGTGATGACATCACAGCAGAGTCCTGCAGAGGGTGGATTCGACACTCCAGAAGATACTTTCCCCGATGCATCGATAGAGCTGACATTCGCTGTGATGATGCAAATATGTGGGCAGACAGACGGGAGCGTCTAGATATCAGTGATTGATATGCAGCAGTGTCTGTTTTTCAGGATTTTTTTTTTTGTTTCATAACTACTGCAGTAAGGTTTACTGTCTAAGTGAGTTTGTTTGCTGTAAAATGTTTGATTTACTGTATTTCCCCCAGTTGCACAATGCTGTGAACAGTTTCAATTAAATATTATCAAGAGTGCATATGAAGTCTTGATTTTCCTTTACAATTTATGGTTTTCAACATGCCATGCATGCTGTCCAGATTTGACATGTCATTGGGAAGCACCTACAAAGAAATCCGTCACAATGAGAACATGTTCAAACCATTTGATTTTGTGACCAAAGGTGCTGGTGTAATGACTTGTAATTGTGACAGCCCTGACACTTTGATATAAGTACTTGCTTTTGATGAATATATTATCTGTTTTGATTAAGGGACTTGCTTTTGAAGCATTGACTACTTATTTTGAGCTACTGACTTGCTTTTGAACAACTGACTTTTCTTTTTGATGAAGTGACTCACTTTTGCAAGTTATCCACCATGTTTTGCGGTTTGCACTAATTGTTTTGAGAAGAGCCTTACTAGTGGTGCAGAGATCAATTCTGTTGTGAGAAATGCACCAAAGCAACTGAGAAAAACTGTAATGATCTCAGCCTAGCTAAAAGTTGCCAGGGTCCAGCACTGTGGAGCTGCCCTGCTGGACAAATTAGGAAATGGCATTATTTCTGAATTACTACAAGCATTTTTGACTGTATTGTGTTCTGCAAAAGAAATAGGTTTCCCCTTTGGAATAAGGGAGAAGCCAGAAGTAGCTTTAATTGGGACATAGTGGTCAGTAATATAAGCCGAAGTGAGTTTCATTTTATTCTCATTTCAATTTAAATCCTTATTGCTATCAGTGAGAACACTTTCTGGTATGTCTAGAAAATGACAGGGATATTAGTTCTTTTAATTGAGGTGATTTTAGCGACAAGCAGCTTGAGAGGTTTGGATTTTAAATGTTCTTTCACGAGGCTTTCTGTAAGCACTGCTGGAGATTACAAACACCAGGGAACTACAACTCACTTGTCTCCTCTTATCGCCAAAGTCCTCGAAAACCTCAAACAGGCCAAATATGTTTTAATCACAAAGTCAGAAAACCAGAATTCAGCAGTCTCACCTAATTCTTCATATCCGTCCGCCGTACTTCCACTGCCGCACCACAACGTGCCCGGGAAGATCCAGGCGCGTTTTCTCCGAGCTTTTCTCTCTGTCTCATCTGTTCTTGTGCGTATGGTGAGCTGTGACGCACTGGAAGCTTCGAGGTGAGCGCAGTCGGCTTTCTGCAGCGCCAATAAAATGCTGCTGATATTAAACCCATAGCTTACCTCTTGACCACGTGTGTTGCTTGTCTTGCAGAGACTGTGATATCTTTCTGTCATCTGTGGACTGAGGCTTACTGTGCATGTTACCAGTCTCATATCTTGGGACCAGATGGTGAGGTACAAGGAGCGCACGCCGACTGTGTCTTCGTGCAGAAAGGAAATACGCGTCTGTACGTTACCGCGAATCGATGTAAAACAGTAGAGACCCGGTCCGACCATATCTTGTGCTTTTGATAAAATGATTGCTGATAAGAAGTAAAAAAACTGAAGTACACATCTGCTTTTCATCTCAAAGTATTGGGTCTATAGTCGGTCCGGTTTAAGATACTGAAGTTAAAAATGATGACAGGAGTGTATTTGTAGTCCAGTCAGCCTAAAGGCATCTGTCCCTGAAGAAACATTCGAGAAGTAAGGTTGAAGTTCATAGGGTCTTTATAATGCCCCTCCGATGCTGAGAAACTTGATACTCAATTTCGTGCTTGCGTTTGAGGGTGTGTACTTGTCCACCTATCCTAGTGAAGACCAGATGAGGACACGTTGGTAAAATGATCCCTTCAAAGAGAAAGCGCTTAGAAGCAAGTTTATCATAGTTAAATAAAACTAGACGTGAAAACCCCCCCAAACATTTTAGTTAATTCAAATAAAAATTAAGATTTTTATGTGTTGACTCACAGTTTTCAGATTGATGCAAATGTAGTCACCAATGAACCCAAATGGATCTCCAACAATACTTTTCCATCAATAAAGCACAGTTGAAGTGGTTATAAACTGTCCAATCGTCCACCTCAGTTTCTATCCTTTCAAATTTCATGTTTGTTCCATTTATTACCACCATATGATGAGAGCATCTTTCCTCCTAATATCAGAAAGGCTTTTCCACATCAAAAAGCTTGTTGTTTTTTTCCTTAGACTTTATTGATCTGTGTAAACTCTCTGCAAAATCTTTACATGCAAAGTTATTTGCAAACATACACCTTTCCGTTGCATGCACTATCTATGTACAAATACAGAGATTAAAGAAGAAACATTCCACTGAACTGGCTGAAAGAAGAAGAAGACAGGTGTGGGTGTAGCTCAGGAGAAAGCCTGCTTTTGTTTTATGCTCGTTTTGCTTTTTGAAACAGCAAAATGCCGATCATCATTTGACGATCACTGTGGCTGAAATAGCACAAATGCGGGACTGGAGGGCGTCTGAATAACTGCCACGAGGGGGCAGAGTGGTTTTACAGAGAAAACAAGACGCTGGAAAGATTTTATGTACAGGACCTCTCGTTCAAAGTATAAGATTAATGTCATAGTCTGCTACCGATAGAGTTGGACATGGTCATATTATGATGTGCTCAGCTGATTATTAGTCTATCCTGTGGATGCTAACAAACCAGTTTATTCAGATTACACCATAGTCGTTATAGTCATGCAGAATATGCCCTGTTGTATATAAAGTATTAACAGGAATGTTGTGGGGGAGAAGTGTAAACATTGATGGAATTACAATAGCATTGATTTCTTACAAAGTACATATATATATGTATCTGTATCTTGAACAACAAGACATTTCATGCATAGAATCTTTTTGTTTTCGTCTTTGTTATGACATTGGAATAACTTGCAGACAGCTGTATAAATTGAGGTCGATCCACTTTGTAAGGTGTGCTTTCCTTGGTTTTTTGTAATCATTGAACAAACGCACACTAAAGCCTTGAATGATTGGGGTGTGGCAGACCGAGGAGGGTGGGGGAGGCTGTTTTGTGCAAAGGGTACATCGGGGTAAAAGCGGGCCATGACTGCCCCAGGCACACAAGAGTCACAAGCACAGTGCATGCAGGTAAAGCTGCACATACTAATGACATAACCTGTCCAGCCTTCTCTGCTTGTTAAGCGGAGCAGCCAAATTTGTTAGGGAAAGCTGTAAGAAACCTGACTCTGTGCATTCCATGTAAACACTGCAGTAGAAAACCTCTGAGGTGTCAGGGTGAACCGCTAGCTTCAGAGGAGTAGAGGTAGCAGGATGAAGTTCTTTTTGTTTGTTTGTTTGTTTCCTGCCAGTTCTCACCGCGACAAAGAAATCAACTGGAAAGTAAACATCACGGTTCATTTTTCAGTTTCTCTAAACACATAGTTAATACTTTCCACAAACTCAGAGTTCACAGTTTAAATTACCATACAGAAAAAAACCTCCTGGTTTAAACTAAGTGCTCTAATTTTAAATCACAAATTAACAGCAACTGATTGAAGATTGATCTAGCTCATGGTCCACTGACTTATGAATCATCTGTTGTAATCAGATGTCTATACTAACCTGAGCAATGTATCATTATGTAAACATTTCTTCATGGTAATATACAATATGCTGAGAAAGTTGAAGTATCTGAAGGTGCAGCTGCATGTAGTGTTGTGTGTGGCGTGACATGCTTATACAGGTCAAGTGTTACACTATAGCGTGATGTCATCACGTGAGAAAACAAAGATAATACCTTTACAGTCTAATAAATTTTAAGCGTGAGCTCTGTCGAGCCTTTTTTTAAGCTTGAGCAAAGGTTGTGACAGATGTCGTAGCATATTGCTTTTCTTCTTCTGTGCAAGTCAAACATCATTTTCCTTTGCGAAGAACGTGTCAAGTTCGGCACAACGTGTAACATCGCTGACAGGCGTGATGGCCTTGCTGACAGATGTCTCAGCTATATTAACAAAAATTTCTAATTCATTTGCGCCATGATTTGTACCAGAGGCAGATTAAGTATCAGTGTAGGCAGAGGAATCGTTTATAAGGAAACGGGACAGAACAGTATACTAACTCGGGGAGGAGGCCAAACGGGAGCAGTGAATACAGAAGATTAAGTAATAAACAAGAACATGGTTAAAAAAAAGTTGATCAGGAGATAAATGCAAGCCAGCTAGGAAGGATAGTATGAGCACATGCTGTATGGTGCGATGGGGCAAGTGGTTAATCACTAGCAACGTGATTCTCATTTAACAAGGTGTGCCAGCGCTCAATCTTCTTGTCTTTGTTCTTCAAACACTCATACCAGTGCTTCAGCCTCTCTCCCTTGGCAGTGATACCCAACTGACATCCACCTGTGAGAAGAGAAGTGGGAGGAGGTGTGAAAGGCAGGTGGAGAACCTGTGAGAATATCACGTTTATTGCATCAAAACAGATCAAATGTTTACCTATGTAGTCATTGGACTTCCCAATATCGTAATCCCACACTGATATATCTAGCGTCTTCTTGGCCAGTTCACTGTGTTTGATGTCGAAACTGAATTCCTGAAGTTTGATAGGGACAATGAGACAGCCTTTAGCCTTTTTCATTTCTGATAGACCTGATATAAAAGATGGATGTAGCCTCCAGGTTTGCCAGTGCAAAAGAGCTTTGAGCCTGGAGTCTTTCTAATGGCCAGCAGGCTTTCCACAGTTAGAAGGTGGTGTAAAAAGAAGAAAAGCTGAGAAAATGACCCTACTTTGTACCTATTACCAACCTCAGGTAAATTATGGTCGTAATTAGAGTACAATGATTAAATGAGGCATAAAGCAGGATATGATGGAGGACGTAGTAACTTTGAGATTGACATGTTGCTATAGTTCAAATGAGCATTGTCCTTGGTTTCTGAGCCAGATGTATGTCTGGTAGCATGTGATGCTCAGAAACAAACCTGGATTTAGTTCTATCCGACTTCACAAATCAACGAGTGAAGTCATAGTGTCTACATCAATCTTTTATATACAGTCTATGGTTGCTCAGAGTAAGACCACAGTAATGTGTTGGTAACTTGTGGACGAGCTCATTTATATTAACTGTGGAGTTTCCCTTTGAGCTCTCTTACAAACCTCGTTAAACTCTGGGTTCAGAGTCCTCTTCTTGATTTGTGTTTTGCACTTTCCCTTCTTCCCCATGTCAGGCTTCAGACATCTGTAAATTGCACATGTGCAAAATTGAATCTAACGGCATGCATTAGCAGTGAAGTGTACTTATTGTTTGCTCTACCTACATTTTGACATATGGGTCCGAGTAACCATTCGCATCCATGGCCGCCAGATGGACGCAGCGCACAACGCCTATAATGAGGCGGTTCTGCTGGGTGCTGTACATCAGGGATATCAGAATCCGACCACGCTCTTCTACCTCTGTGCCGTCTTTCCCCGGCTATGACAGAGAGAGGAGGTAAATAGTTCAGTAGGATTCATGATAAAAATTTGCATAAACTTGTGGGGGAATCCATCATGTTTAGACATGTGTGGAAATAGCATTGCCTCATCCTCGTAGAGAGCGATCCCTCTGGCTGTGCCGGCTGTTGCGGTTTTCTTTGTCTGCGAGGGGGAGCGAGATTAGAGCAGGTCAAAAAGAGTCTGTGACAAATGGAACAAAGGCCTCTTTGACTATGTGTGAGTTTCACTCACAGGCACAACTCTCTCTAGACACACGTTGAAGTTTTTCTTCTGATTCATCTTCAGTTTCTTCAGTGCCACTCGGGTTTCCCCGATAAACTCATTATGCCCAAACTTGTCTTCGTCACAGACAGAGACCCTGAGAAAATTTTAAGTAACTCTTAATTATACAGACCGGTATGTCTTTAAATGCAAGGACAGATTCAGTTTGACATGTGACCACATGGCTGTTGATGCAAAGTAAAGCTTTAAGTGAAACAGTCTGAAGTTTAGTGTTCACCTGAGGGTCTTACGCTGCATGTCCTCATCTGTCAGGCCATGGTAGGTGAGCGCCTCATTCCACACAGGGTTGCGGGTGTTTCTCAGTGTCTTTGTGCGCAGCTTGTTCGACTGTTGGATTCAAGGTGGATCAGGAAAGGAAATATAATTTTCTAGATACAGTTAAACCTCCAAGTCATACTTGTAAGACTAAACCACAAGATGTCAGGCTTGAGCTAGGAGAAAGGTTTCTCATCAAATCAAACGGCCTGAAATTGCCATCCTTCCTTTATTGCATAGCAGGAGATCTTTTAAAATAAGTGAAAGTTTAATGTAGGAAAGTACGCATTTTACCTTACTAGCCCCTGGCAGCAGATGAAGCTTGACATAAGGATCTGCCAGTCCATTTGAGTCCATGGGTTTCAGTCCCTGAGGAGAAACAGGGCAGGGTGTTCACCACATCACAAACGACAGACAGCAATTAAGCTATAGTGCCATTCAGGGCCTTTTTAACATGACCCACTTGATTGAAATTGCCTCTTTGTGTGGGAGAATGAGCTGAATAGTGGTACCTTTGCTTTGAGGATGGTACAGTGGAGGCTGTTGCTTTCCTGTTCATAGTGAAGACTGAACTCTAGAGAGCCCAGAGTGGCTGAAAGAGATCCCGGACCAATCATTACACGAAGGTACAGGGAGACAGCAAGTCTACTCTTGAACAATTAAGAGTGTAAATATAGAAAGATTGTCTTGTAATTAAACAACGCTCATCTTGTAAATTAAAATGAGAATTGGAAACCAGCCCAGAATGGACTGAAGGGATGGACAAAAGGACTTGACCTTCATCATGAAACATTCTCAGGCTTCTATTTACCTTATGTAAACAGCAGGACAATCTTATTAAAAACAGGGAAATATAATATAAAAGAAATCAAGTCTCAAAGGATAAGGGAGGGAAAAAATAAAGACCAGCATGCTGCCCACTCAGACTTTCTTTACATGAGTTTTATTGCCAAGCATAAGCAAAAGCATATGAATGTCTGGATGTAATTTTCAGTCCTTAAATGGTGCTAGTATGGTATTTTAGTCTGGACCAAGGCCAATATTCCTATATGATCGTATCACTTTTATAGATGAAAATAAGCACTACTGGATTATAATTTATTAAAAGATTAAATATGCATATTATTTATACTGGTAACAAATCACTAAAAATCAAAACATGCAGATATTAAGTTAAGATATGCCGAAATTGCTGTTACTTGTTAAGTAAAGAAGTCGTATCCAACTGGGCTACATCACATCCCCATAGAGAACAGACACATAAAATCACTCCTATTTCTGACATGTTCCCTGCTTACACTGGGGACTAAATCCCACACAAGGGATCTATAACATGTTCCGCCTCCTGTATCTTAAATTTTTTTTTGCACAGCTTAATTGTCCTGGACCTCAATAAAATAAATTAAAACCCAATTCCCCTGAGACAGAATGAGGGCTGTTTGACGCCGGAGGCCAAAATCATGACTGGCGGGTTATCATCCTCATCATTAAAATGGGATACATTAAACAGTGACTAGATGCATCGCTACTTATGTAGCTCTACATGTTTCTCTGCTTTACTTCCTCTGATAACGATTTTTTTATATTCTGGTCACATACGGTGTTTATTTGTCATTTTTAACTCAGCTCGACAGGCACTGCCAGAATGATATTTACCGTTTGCTTGGACTACTGGGCAATTTATTAAATGAAGTGCACATGAATTATTTTAGTAGGAGCGAACTAAATTGCAGAAATGAAGCCAAAGATGTGATTCAGTATGCCCGAGGGAAACAGATTTTGCCAAATTAAGGGAATCAACCCCCAATACTGTACGCCTTACAGAAATAAGTTCTTCCTGATTTAAAGAAAACCCCAAAACCAAACCCTTATCTTTTGTTATTTTCTTGAAATCAGTGGAGAGAAATCAAACTGTACAGAAAGGGAATTTAAAACAATACACATCAGTCATGTCACTCCATGAGAAGGGTGAGCAGATGGTGTACTCACTGGCTTCATCCGAGTCATAGTCATTGACTTCCTCCTCCTCGTCAGCTGGGGGAGGTTGCTGTCGGGCAGGAGGGGCACCATAGGCAGTCGGCTGCCTCCTGTCCTCTCTCACTGCAGGAGGCGCTCTCTGCTCTGGAGGAACTGCACCAGAAGAGTAAGCACCTCCATCTCCGACCATTGAACCTACAACCACATTCAGTTGTCTCAGACAGCAAGAAATGACACAACTGAGGATTTCTCTCTCTCTCTAAACACAAAGAGCTGTTTCTCACCCTGCTGCGTCACGTTGGTAGATGCACAAGGCTGTGGTCTGGTGCTCTGGACAGGCACCATCTTCTTCATCACCACTGGGCTGCCCTGCCCGGCCTCTTCTGGGCCAGCCCCGCCTGAGGCCATGCGCATAACTGGTTTAGGGGCCACAGGTGGGTAACCAGGACGGCCCTGTGGCTCGGGCCCTAAAAATAAGCATGAATCACATTATTCAGAACTTACATACTGCGCATAGGGAAAAAGTGCATAATAAGACCACTTCAGGCTGCTACTGCAGTGGATTCTGTAATACTCCGCGGTCTCTCCAGATACTTTTGATGTTGTAGCTTTTTTGTAGCACAGGCATTGACCTACATACGCTACAACAAGCTGTGGCAGCCAGCAACCATACATGCAGCAGCTATGCAGACTGCTTCTCTTGTACGGGGAACTCACACTGCACAGGTAATCACGCTGAAAGTGTGAAATGATGCTGTGCGACCCATCATGCCAGCACCACCTGGAGGCTCATTCCACGCCACAGCATGGGACTTCCGACAGTTTAATTGAGCTCTTCATGCCCCCCTCCTCTGTGACAGTGGGCGGCACAGCCAAATTTGGGTAGGAGATAAAAGGTTTGATGGCAGGGAAAAGAGCAATGAGAGGTGGGACTGCATTATCAGAAAGGCTGATCTGAAGAGACTGAAGAGGTGGTGTTTGAAAAAGTCACACTGAAAATTAGAAATATTAATTTTCCAAAAAGTGCAACTTTTCACTTTCTGAGCGGAAGCTACTTAGCCTGCTTTGGTAGCTTCACACCTGGCCACCATAAAATAGCCAGGGTGGTGACGAAGGGGAGGAAATGAACCACTAGCACATCATAAAAACAGAATACCTAACAGAACACTGTCAGATGCCAGGAAGCAAGAGGAAAGCGCATTCATATAGCAGATCTATCTTAAAAGGGTTATAGATATTGAACTTGCCTGAAACCTGTTGTTCAGAGGCAAGAGCCTCATTTTGATTCTGACCTAAGACATAACATAGACCAACTGTTATAGATAGATAGATAGATAGATAGATAGATAGATAGATAGATAGATAGATAGATAGATAGATAGATAGATAGATAGATAGATAGATAGATAGATAGA